GGATGAGGAGTAGGTCTTGGAACAAAGGAGTCAGCCACCAGATTTGAGAAATTTATTTCACTGAGGGTTGTGAATCTTTGGAATTCCCTATCCCAGAGGGCAGCTGATGGATTTGTGTCCTAAGGGAAACAAGGGATTTGGGAAAGGGGGGTTGCGAAAGCAGTGCTGAGGCAGAAGATCAGCCATTGATCCAACTGAATCGTGTAGCAGCCTGGAAGAACCATCTGTTATTTTTTATTCACCCACATCACTATTTTTTTCCTATGTTTTCAGTTTTGTGACTTTGGAGTTTGCTTTCAGTCTTATTTTCTCCTTTCATTAGCCTCTCTCTCAACCCAGAGATGGGAACACTGTTTGGAGTTAGTAGGTGACAAATTGGGCTCCTTGAATGGAATGCTGCCTCTGTGAATGACGTGTCCACGTTGCAGTAACTCGGTTTGCTGCAGAAAAGCACCATTCACCTCCGTGAGGAACTCTGAGGTTATGGATTGAGGAAATGAAAAGGACATGCTGCCAGCTGGAAAGATGTCTGGCAAGAGAGGGAAAGGTCAGCCCCCTAGAATGAGTGGTGCCATCATGGAGAAAACACTGGCTGCAGTGAGGGCATGGAGGGATGTGTTATTCCCAGTAAGCAAAAGAATACAAGAGCAGGCCTAGACTGCTGGTAGCTGAGGAGGTCAGCAGCGTGATCAGGACACCCACGGTTCAGTCCAGAAAACATACCAATTACTTGATCAGGAAAGGTCAGGACACTTCCTTCTTTACCTATTGCCTTCAATGCACACTCTTTTACTCCATCTTATCCATTCTTCACCATTCATATCATCCCTTTCTGCCAGGCATATTGATGTATTACTGCTTACATGTACTTCCCTCTCTTTCTCCTTTCACAATGGCTAATAATTTCAATCCTCATCTCATCCCTCAGAGCAATATAACTTCCACTTCCTCAATTGATACTGTGTAGGCAGTCTTTGCCAACACACAATATACCCCCACCTCACAATCTTTCCAGTCTCACTATGTCCACTAAGTCCAGAGGGAGGTCACATCATACATTACACTGTCCAAGTCCCTTTAGCAGGCAGTGTCCAGGGAGAGTTTCACTAAAAGAACATCAACATTCTGCAAAGTAGCTGGTTCTAGTGATTAGGTCTTTAGCAGCTTTTGGTGCTCCCTAGATGGGTCGTCTTTCCAAGGTAATTCAAGACATAGCTGGCAAAGCCTACACTTATTAGTCATCCTGAATTGTCCTTTTCAGAGAACAGGTTGGAGAACATGAGTGGATGATATTCACTATCACTGAGACTAGATTTTTGTTCTAAATTTGAGAGAGGAGGCAAGAATCTCAGGCTGGATCGTTTATCACAATGTCAAAAGAAGAACTGTAGGAAACAGTTCAGTCCATTTTGTGAAGAGTGTCATGTTTAAATTGCAGAGATGGATGAAGATTTTGGACTTGTATTTGGATACCACTGGGAATCAGGAGGATGCCCTCAGGAGTTTCTTGGGTGGGATAGATGGGTTGTTTTTATGTAAGATATATTGACATTGAAGATCTGTTTTGATAGTACCAAAAGATCATTCAACCTATTTCTTGCTTTCTTGTGCTTATATTTTTAGTGAAACCACTTTGACCTAGAAACTCGATGGTGGGTAGGAAGCAGATGCCCACAATGAGCCCATATGTGTTGAAAGCATTGAGGGGGCTTTTGTGGCAGTGTTGCTACCTCTGGACTAGAGGGTTCAAGTCCCAGAGGTTTATCAAATAATAGTGAAATAGTTTTATACACTTCCAATGATTGCCCATCAATTTCTATTCCAACAGAATCCTCAGAAAACAACTTCTGAAATTGAAAATGTTCTCCCCTTCGTCATGAACGTCTGAACAAGGAATTTCCTGCATCTGGCTAATGTTTATCTGCGGTGCTTTGTTTTTACTATTGGTGTGTTCACATACATTAATTAGGTTAATGCATTAATCTTTAGAGCTACTAATTAAGCAAGTTGAACCATCTTCCATTGGATACCATAAGGAGTGTAATTTGCAATGTGTTGCTTATGAAAATTATCAAAAATTGTGGTCTTATTGTCTATGTTAAGTTTGTGGCTACCTGCTTAAATCTAGTCAAGAACATAAAGCAATTTAAAAAATACAGTTTAGATTTCAGAAGTCAATACAATAGTCAATGAGCAATTTTACCTGTCTACAATTCCTTTCATGGATTGCCTTCTTCATAGCTTGCAAATTGAAAAGTATAGAAATACTCATAGTTGGATAATAATAAATGATAGAACCATTAATTAAAACGAGATGCTGGGACCACTGGATCTGGCAGCATCTGTGCAGAGAGAAACAGTCAATATCTCAGATTGTGACTTTTCGTCAGAATTGCGAAGATTTTGAAATAGAACAGAGCTGACTGGATAGCGTCCCACTGTGCTGCTCAACATCTCATTATTAAGGCTGGTCATGCCTGTTAACTTTCACTGACTTTTAGTATTGAAATGAATTTGCAATCAATTTTAATTTTTCCAATGACATACTGCTAACATTTGCCAGTACTGACTGGCTCAGGGCTTAATGTGATTATTAAATACTCACATCGAATCCTTTGTATAATGCCATCAGGATAACACAAACTCAAAACAAGGATTTATTTCAAATTGAACGCAATACAAGAAGAATGTTGCCACAACTTTTTGAAATAGTTTGTTGAACTAATGTTAAAATAGTACTTTTTCTTCTTTATAGTTATTATATTAACAATTACATTAGGATCCTGCCATCCAACTTAGACCTGGAGAACACTAATCAACTTCATGTAAGTTTCCATGGAGGTAGCACAGTGTATTTATAAAGAAATAAGTTATACACCATGGAAACAGATCTTTCAGTCCAACTCGTCCATGTCGACTAGATTTCCCAAACTGAACTCGTCCCATTTGCCTGTGTTGGCCCACGTCCCTTTAAACCTTTCCTGTTCATGTATCTGCCTAAATGTCTTTTAAATGTTGTAACTGTATTCACCTCTACCACTTCCTCTGGCAGTTCATTCCATATATGCAACACACTTTGTGTGAAAAAGTTGTCCGTCAGGTCACTTTTTAAATAGAGTCAAACAGCGAGGAAACAGCCCCTTTGGTCCAACTAGTCCATGCTGACCAGATACCCTAAATTAATCTAGTCCCATTTGCCAGCATTTGGCCCATATCACTCTAAACCTTTCCTATTCATGTACTCATCCAAATGTTGTAATTGTACCAGCCTCCATCGTCTAGCAACTCATTCCATCCATGCACCACTCTCTGTGTGAAAAAGTTACCCCTCGAGCCCTTTTTAAATCTTTCCCTTCTCACCTTTAAACCTATGCCCCCTAGTTCTGGACTCCCTCACCGTAGGAAAAAGACCTTGGTTATTCACCCTATCCATCCTCCTCATCATTTTATAAACCTCTATAAGGACACCTCTCAGCCTCCGATGCTCCAGGGAAAATAGCCCCAGCCTATTCAGCCTCTCCCTATGGCTCAAACCCTCCAACCCTGGCAATATCCTTGTAAATCTTTTCCACACCCGCTCAAGTTTAACAACCTTCCTACAGAAGGGCGACCAGAATTGTACGCAGTATGCTACCTAAGAGTAGTACACCAGCTGTAAAATATTCTTTTCATTTTGAAACCATTTTCCTCCTTTGACAATCAATGCAAGGACCTTCTGTTATATCACTAGTTAAAATAAAGTGTAAAGAGCCAGCTTTTGTTATCTTTGTCCTTTCCCCATTCTGTCTGTGAGTGTCCCCTTACCTTCTCCCCTGAGTGTTCACCTTCTTGTTGGAAGATCTGAGCATCAGTTGTCCAATTGGAAATTTTTAATTTGAGTCTTGAGGTGAATGTTCAAATGCTATTCACTTGGAAACTTGAGAGGAATATCAGAGAATTCAGTCTTATCTTCACATGACATGCATTTTCAGCAAATGTTGCCTGATAAATCAGGATTTCTCCTCCTCAACCTTTTCACTACATAGGAACATATATTATATGAGCAGGAGTAGGCCATTCAGCCCTTCAAGTCTGCTCAGCCATTCAGTATGATCCTGGCTACTTATCCAACTCAGTACCCTGTTCCTGCTTTCTCCTCAATTTCTTTGATCCCTCTAGTATTAAGAACTATATTTACATGTTTCTTGAAAGCCTTCAATGTTTTGGCCTCAACAGTTTCCTGTGACACAGAATTTCACAGACTTGCCACTCTCTGGATGAAGAAATTCCTCTTCATGTTTGCTGTAAAAGGCCCACCCCTTATCCTTAGAGTATGATCCCTGGTTCTGGACTTCCTGGTCACTGAGAACATCCTCCCTGCATTTACTGTGTCTAATCCTGTTAGAATTTTATAGGTTTCTGCAAGATTCTCCTTCATTCTTCTAAACTCTACTGAATATAGTCCTAACTGATTGAGTGTGTCCCTGTAGGTCAGACCTGCCACCCCAGGATTCAGTCTGGTAAACCACTTTGCACTTTCTCAATAGCCAGAACAACTTCCCTCAGATAAGGAGACGAAAACCAGCACACAATACTCCAGGTGTGTACTTACTAATGCCCTGTACAGTTGTAGCAGGACATCCCTGCCCCTGTACTTGAATCCCCTTGCAATGAGGCCAACATACTATTTACCTTCTTTACTGGTTGCTGCATTTGCATGTTTACTTTCAGTGACTGGTATAATCTGCCTTCCTGTTTTTGCTAGCTAAGTGAATAAGTTCACATTTATCCACATTATACTTCATATGCCATGTATTGGTCCACTCACTCAACTTGTCCAAATCACACTGAACTGAAATAACAGGCAGCCACTTTGAACTGCTCAAGCCATAAACTGGATGTGATGTGGGCAATTAGTATTATGGAGCATTAATTGTTTGGTACTCAAAGTGTATTTGATTTATTTGGTTGTCAAATTATTTATCATATTTCCATGCTAAAATAGAATGTATGTATTTCAGGAACCAGCAACCAGGAGTGTGCTAACGGCACCAACCACACACAAGGCCCATCCAGGGAGACAAACTGATGATAGTGCTGTTGTCCACTTCTTTAAGAATATGGTAATTGACTATTGCTGTCTACGGTGTGCTGCATGTTTCAACCTTTGATAATGAGAAATGATGTTAAGATAGGGAGGACAGCAGTTGTTTGTTTCTTCCATTCCATTCAAAAGTTAGAGCCATTGCCACATCAAAATACAAGATACTCTTGGATGAGGGAGGTCATTCAAACCATCATAGTCTGTCAACACAGTGCTGTTTTTTATTGTTTCCTGATTAAATTTTAGGGTCTAGTTTCCCTCTCCTCATGAAGCAGATCATGAAGATATCAACAGTAAAAAAGCATTTGTATTAGACATAGACAGAGTCTTACAGCATAGAAACAGGACTTTTGGCCCACTATGTCTATGCTGACTAACAAACACCAAACTACACTAATCCCATTTATGTGCACTTGGTCCATAGCCTACTATGCCCCTGGCATTTTAAGTGCTCATCTAGATGCTTCTTAAATGGTGCATAAGTACCTGCTTCTACCATTCTCTCAGGTAGCACTTTCCATGTTTCTACCACCCTATGAGTGAAAAAATTCTTTCTCAGATCTCATCCAAACCACTTGCTCCTCACCCTAAACTTATGTCTTCTGGTCTTAGATATGTCTGCATGGAGAATAGATTCTCATGATCTAATCTGTCTATGCCTCTTATGGTTTTGCATACATCAATCAGATCCATCCCCAGCCTCTTCTGCTCCAAGGTAAACAAACCCAACCTATCCAGTCTCTCCTCATACATCTGAGACTTTAAACGTAGTTTACAAAGACCTGAGGTGCTACATGGGTAGGTCATCAAACAAAAGTTTGACACCGAGCCATGGGAGGTAAGATTAGGTCAGAAGACCTAAAACTTAACAGCATCTTTAAAAAGGAGAGAGAGGTAAAGAAGCCAAGAAGTACAAGGAGGAATTTCCAGAATTTAGGGCTTAGCTGAAATGGCACCCCCAAAATTACTTTCTTATCAGTTTGAATTGTGCCCTTGGTCCTATTCTGGTCAGAATTTAAAGTAGTTGTCTGGATTGACATTAGTAACAATACCTCTCTTTGATGCCTCTACATAAGGCTCCAAAATCCAAGTCTCTTTGATCTTTCTTTAAGATGAAGTTGTATGTGAAGTTGGGGGTGGTGCTCTTGTCTAATTAAAGTGCAGCAGGAGCATTTAAACATGGGCTGTCTACACAGATCTGGCTGCCTGTCCCTCTTGTGGTGCAGTGGAAGTATCTCTACCCTTGGTCCAGGAGCCCCAGGTTCAAGTCCCACCTGCTCCAGAGGTGTGTAATAACATCTCTGAGCAGATTGATTAGAAACAATGGGTTAAGATTTCCTCTTGTGTTTAAGCAGTTTGTGTTCTAAACATAAAACACAAGTGTTTGCCCATTAGGAATGCTTGTTGGAGAAGATTATATGGGGCTTAACTGTTGCAGTTCCTTTGAGGTAGCTTGGGAGATAAGGAAATTGAAATTGATTCACTTTGGGCTGGTTCTGCAAAGTGTCCCCAGCTCCATGTGCTTTTACTACAGTGACGTCTACCACCCAGACAGCAAATAGCCAATTAGTGCACAAAATAGGTCAGTTAATTTAACCCTATTGTATAACTGGATCACAATCTTTCAGAAGGTGCATTAGCTCACCTGCCAAGTTTGGTGCGTAGAAGTTAAGCAGAGGAGCATCATAGAAGGAGTCCCAAGCAATGAACCTTTTGTGAGACTTATTATTAATTTGCCAACAGTATATCTCAGTGCTTGGGTCTCCACAGCCAGAAGATACGCAACCAGTTTGCGGAAACTGATGCCTCCACAACTATTATTTTAGGGTGGCACAGTGGCTCAGTGAAATAAATTACCACATCTGATGCCCACCTCTATATATAGATAGTTCAAAATTAACACCACCACAAGGAAATTATCAACTTTAGTCCCTTTTGCTGATTTGTGGTAAAATAAAACTGTCTTGTTGAAATTTTTCTTTGCTGTGGATGTGCAGCATGCTCTAATTTTAAATTAATCTTAAATTCACCTTTCAAGAACAGATTTTCAGGCAACTTTACCCCTGTGTGACTGTATCATGCTTATACGTGTTTTGACTCCGTTATTGTCTTCTTTTTCAGATGTCACCAAAGAAAGCCCCAGTACAACAAAAGGTAAATGGTCTGCTCCTTGCACTGCACCTCAGTCTAGTGGATATGCAAATTGTGACAGTCAAATACCCATAAACTTGACAATATCACGCTTTTAAGTGAAGTGTTAAGCACCTTTCACCATCTCATGACATCCAACGCACTTCACACCAAATAAAGCCTTTTGCTGAAGTGTAAGAAAATTTGCACACAGTAAGATCACAGAAACAGTAGTAAGACCACAACACTTTCTTTTAATGATGCAAGCTAAGGGGAAAATTATTTTTCAGGATGTTCTGAACACTCCTCAGATCTTCAAGATGGTAATGTGGGATTTATTTATGTCCATCTTGGAGGACAGAGGAGATCTTTGTTTCACACCCCTTGTAAAAGAAAACACCTCTAACGCCCTCAGTAATGCACATTGCACAGGAGTGGCAGCATGGATTGTGAAATCAAGTCTCTGGCATGGCAGTTGAATCCACCAGTTCTTGACTCAGAGGCACGAGCACAACCAACTGAGGTCTAAGAAAAGTATCATCTCTTAGTCAGTTTAATAGTTCTATAGAATAAAACTGCTACACTATTTTAATTAGAAAGAAATGACAAAACAAATTTCTGTTAGACACTTCCATCAAATGTTAGGATACTCGCAATCAGATACTGAGTAGCAATCTTAGGTAACCTTGATTATATTCTGTACTTTCTCTACATCATTTTCTGAGCCACCTCATACCTTTTGTGTCTCCAATTTTATTTGGTGATTGTCATGGCTCCTTTTCTCATCACTACTACAGGCAAGGTCCGGAGCAAGTAGAGCTATCACTAAATTTATTTGGGTAAGGCGCAAGATCTGTATTTACTGCCATAACCATGCTGGTCACAATGGCTAACAAATCGATAAATTCAAGAAATCTAACCAGAAATGCACTTGCACCATTACTGTTTCATTTCATCCTGTCATGCCAACATCTCTGGTGATGTTTCTCATTTATAAACTCCATCCCCATACTTGCCTAACTTCATAGACAGGGAATTCCCAGCAGAAAATGAGTTAGGAAGTATGTTTATATGACTTTAGTCTTCAGTTCAACACCCCAATCACCAAATCCAATATCAGATTTGTAATGGATGGGGATATCTGATGGTGGGAGCAAGCATCTTAGAGAGGAAAGAAAATCCCTAATCTCCTGTTAGTGTGTGTAATGTCACAAAATGAGATGAAATTGGTCTTTAGAGGAGGATAGCTTACTTGACTGTTATCCCAGCTGATAGAATTCAGTGTGGGTGCGAGCAAAATTTGTTGATCACAAAAAAGTCAAAAAGGTCAATTTGAAGACAATACATAATCATTGCAAATTCTTTGGTTTTCTTTAAATGTTAACAAAGACATCAATTAAAGTTTTGGTGCACTGTCTGCTGAAGATGAGATGTATCAGCCAAAAGCAAACAGTTAAGAAAGAAGCCAGAATGACACATGATGGAGAAAAGAATGGAAGCTTACGCTGATGGGGTGGGAGAAGGCTCACATAGGACATGAATGCCAACAGAGGCCAGTTATGTCAAATGGCCTGCTTCTGTGCTGAACGCCGTTGTCAAAAATATGTTCCCCATCACAACAAATGTCTGTTATCAAGATGCTGATTTTTTCAGGTATTTGGACGATCCCAAATTTTTACACCAGATTTAACTTCTGCAAAAAAATCAATATTACAAGTTTCAATAAATATTACAAGGTGATAAAACAAGCAAGAGATGTTCCAGTTTAATTCTCAAGGCACAACTGATTGGATTCCTGAATGGAACTGATTCTGATAAAAGTTTACTTCACCAATCATGGGCTTTGAATGATTGATAGAGGGGACATTAATTGTCCAATTGCCTTGCCACCCCCACTCCAACCCAATTTAAGTCAGACAAGCAAGATGGCAGCTGCCAAATGAGGCACCAGGTGAGACTGAAGTCCCAAAATCTGAACGAGAGCAGACCCCAGCGAGACACATTGATGGTGGATCGTGTTACTAATGGGAGGGTGAGTGTGGAGGGATAAATGATGATGCAGCTGTATTTAAAGATCTTCAGTTTGTCAGTTGTCTATTTGTGTTGTAGATGGTCGGAAATCATTTCTTTGCTGCCATCACACTTAGGAGTCATGTCTCAGTTCTCTGACAAATTCAACAATTCAGTTCATTGTTTCTTTGCAATTCACTGACTCGTAAGTGTACGAAAGCATAGAATATTGAGAGTGCAACCTAGTTCTGTGACTTGAATTAGAACTAAGGTACCATCAAGCTGCAAATTTCCACCTTCTCTTTGGCTGGACCAGTAACCAGTTCACTGACAGGATGAGAGATCCATAGCCCTCTCTGTTCTCTGTACTATTTGACCAATGGCTTTTGGTGGAGTCCAGTGTCTCCACATCTTTGCTGGTAAGTTTCATTGATAGTCATTCAGCATCTTGTACACACAATGAGTGATAGCAGGACATGTGGAGGCTAATCCGTTAACCTCATCATCGCAGAATCAAACTAATTGTACTTCAAAAGAAAATCTTACATAATCAATATCAACGCATCGCAATGCATTAATAATGTGAAGTACCGTTGCTAATGTTTAACATGATTGTACTTTCAAGAAGTAACAGATTTTTTACTTTAAACGGTTCAGTGACACTGAAGATTTAATGTGTACTTCAGATATTCCTTTAAAGGTTTGTCTTAAGTTGCATCTCAAAATTCAGCAGCCACACCAAGTATGTGCTTGCTCTTTTTGATACAATGTGGGGCAGGGGTATAGCTTAAGACTTTGCCAGCCCCATCAGTTACCAGAGCTGCCTGTAAAAATGTTATCAATTTTCTAAAGAAGGTGGAATTTTTGCTTGGCAAACCTCAATCGCCTAAGGCAAACAGTATCCAACATGAGGAATGGTGAGTTTGTAGAGCTCTTTCCAGCGACATTGTTTAATTATCACAATTCCTCAGGCCTTCAAGACAATTATAGCGAAAAGATCACAATTCAAAAATAGCTCACCTCATCCTATTATTAAGATCAAATGAGTTCAAACTCCCCTCCCTCATGACAACTAGAAAATTTATTGTAGTTAACTGACTAAATCTGAGATAAAAGTTAAGGTAAACTTGGCATAGATCCCTAGGGCTGCTCTTTCATTAGACAGAGACGCTTGTGCTGGTTGAATCTGAGGGTCACTATGTCTCAGCCAAGGGGAGAGGTTGATAAGGATAGTACTTCATGGTAATCCCAGCTAGTGCAGGAATTAAACCCACACTGTTGGTGCCACTCTGCATCACAAACCAGCTGTCTAGCCACTGAGCTAACTGACCCCTGTAAAATAGCTAGTGTCAGTAATGGTGCCCATATAAATAACACATCATCTAGTTCAATTGTGTTCTTTTAAGGAAGGACATCCACTCTCCGTATCTGGTCTGGTCCACATGTGACTCCAGACCCACAGGAGTGCAGTCGGCTCTTAACTGCATCTGAAATGGCCCTAGGAATTGTCAAGAAGATGCTTTATCATCACCTTGGTTTAGGGTGATTGGAGATGGATAATGAATGTATTTCTTCCCTGTGATGCCCACATTCTATGAATGTCTAATCAGCAACAGGAACCCAGGTTTGATTCCACCCTCAGACGACCATCTGTGTGGAGTTTGCACATTCTCCCCATGTCTGCGTGGGTTTCCTCTGGTTTCCTCTCACAATCTAAAGATGTGCAGGCTAAGCGATTTGGCCATGCTAAATTGCCCATAGTGTTCAGGGATGTATAGATTAGGGGGATGGGTCTGGGTGGGATGCTCTGGGGGTCAGTGTGGACTTGTTGGGCCAAAGAGCCTATTTCCACACTGTAGGGATTTGATGAAAATCTCTGTATCCATTCAAGGCACTTTCCTCTCATTTCCTCCTGTCAGTAAGTCTTGCAGCATCTGCAACTTAGAAGGTAAAATGGAGACTACGCTTTGGTGCACTCCTCTGCTTGTCAGGACATGCCTGAGAAGAGGCCAGTATGATTTGGCATTCCCATATTTTCTCAATCCTTGGGAAGAAAGGTTTTGTTTTGTTAGGTGCCTCCTATGGCAGGTTGTGCACATTGCTGTGTGGACAGTTGTGAATGCACGGGGTTCTCATTCCACAAGCAGCCAAAGTAACATATTGGCAAACCAATCTGGTGTTTCAGTGTGTCATCCTTTTACTTATTGTACACAGATACTTCTGTGCTTATGTAATGGTGCTCTGTCTTTAAGTGAAATTGTGTTTTCTAATTTTATGAAACTATCAACAATTCTTTCAAAATTCTGTTCCCCAAAAGGGAACCAATTACATTCATTCCTAATGATAACAATACATGTAAGATTAGGTCCAGGAAAGGTCCAGCTGGTTGATCAAGCCTGCCCACACCACCACACTGTTCAGAAGATCATAACTGGATATTTCATTTCATTTCCATCTACAGCCTGGTGATCTGCTAAAAGTGGCAAAAAAAAACCCTGCAGGGCCAAAAAAGAACATAGAACATTGAACTGTACAATATAGGAACAGGTCCTTCAGCCCACCATGTCTGTGCTGACCAAGATGTTGGTCATTCTAAAATAATTCCATCTGCCTGCACATTGTCCATATCCCTCTATTCCCTGCCTGTTCACATGTCTGTCTAAACCCCTCTTAAACTTAACTATCGTATCTGCTTCAACCACCTCCCCTGGCACCAACCAGCCTCTGTGTAAAAAAAAGACTTTATTTGCAAACCTCATTTTAAATCTTTCCCCTCACCTTAAATCCAAGTCCCCTAATACTTGACATTTCCACCCTGGGAAAAAGGATTCTGACTATCCACACTATCCATGCCTCTCATAATTTCATATACTTCTATTAGGTCGCCCGCTGAGACTCTAGCGAAAACAATCCTTATATCTAATACACTCCAAACCAGGCAACAAGCTGGTAAGAGATTGTAAGAACTGCAAATGCTGGAGAATCTGAGATAACAAGGTGTAGAGCTGGATGAACGCAGCAAGCCAAGCAGCATCAGAGGAGTAGGAAGGCTGACGTTTCGGGCCTAGACCCTTCTTCAGAGATGGGGGAGGGGAAGGGGGTTCTGAAGCTCACAAGCTGGTAAACCTCTTGCACCCAGTCCAAAGCCACCACATCCTTCCTGTAGTGCAATGACCAGAACTTTACACAATACTCCAAATGTGGCCTAACTAAAGTCTTATACAGCTGCAACTTTATTAATACTATGGAAAATTCCTCTCTGACCACCAACACTCCTCACCCACCCCCAATCACCACAAAAAGTAGACAGCAATTCAGCAACCATCATACTGTCTGACAATGTATTACAGAGACTTACCTCTCCCTAGGAAGCAAGGAGCCTCAGATCCAGCCTGTTCTTCATTTTGCACAGGTTACACAGTTATCTCCAATCTCTCAAACTGAAAGGACCAAGATTGAAAGAAATTACTTTGAACAGTTTTAACTTTGTATTATAAGATATATGAGCTACAAAATGTCAGCTAGTTATACCCTCTCAATTTACTACTAGTATTTGGAAAATAGTAACTAACAATAAACATTTCTATGAATAAATTTCTTATTCCCATGTTTAATCTGCTTTTTGATTTGTTTAAAGGGTACTGATGGACAAAGGCCACATTATGGGGCAGCTGGTTCTTCCAAGTCAAAGGAAGCTTATAGAGGACGGAAAGATGGTTCAGGCACCCTCTCATCTTTTTTCAAAATGGTAACAAATTTTAAAAAAACAATCCTCTCATCACATAACATAGTGACAACAATGACTTACAGTTATATAGCACTATTGCTTTCCCACCCTTGGGCGACTGAATGTGTGGAGTTTGCACATTCTCCCTGTGTCTGCGTGGGTTTCCTCTGGGTGCTCCGGTTTCCTTCCACTGTCCAAAGAAGTGCAGGCTAGATGGATTGGCCATGCTAAATTGCCCATAGTGTTCAGGGATGTGAAGCTTAGGTGGGTTATAGGGGGACGTGTCGGTGTGGACTTGTTGGCCCAAAGGGCCTGTTTCCATACTGTAGGGTTTGTATGATTCTGTTATTCTAAGTATACTTGTGCTATAGACGTTAGTAAAGACACAAGTTGTTTAATTTCTGATAGAAATATTTACTTATCTCAGGCAATGAGACAGCAATTTGCTACAGGTGGTTCTGCAATTACTCGGCTGGGCTGGCAGGTGTGACCGGAATCCTCCTGAGCATCTTCTTTCAATAATGCAGGCCTCAGTATCAAATAACCAGAAAACAGCAGAAACATGTGCGTTAACATCGCACCTGTAACATAATAAAATGTCCCGAGGCACTTTGTTGGCAATTATTTGACAGCAAGGCACATGAGATATGGGGTGGCACAGTGGCTCAGTGGTTAGCACTGCTGCCTCACAGCACCAGGGACCCGGGTTTGATTCCAGCCTCGGGCAACTGTCTGCATGGAGTTTGCACATTCTCCCTGTGTCTGCGTGGGTTTGCTTCGGTTTCTTCCCACAGTCCAAAGATGTGCAGGCTAGGTGGATTGGCCATACTAAGTTGTCCATAGTGCCCAGGGATGTTTAGGTTAGGTGGGTTAGACATGGGGAAATCTGGCGTAGGGGAATGAGTCTGGATGGAATGCTCTTCGGAGGGGCGGTGTGGACTTGTTGGGCCAAATGGCCTGTTTCCACATTGTAGGGATTCTATTCTACATGTGGCCAAAAGCTTGGCCAAAGAGGTACAAAAAAAATGATAAAAACCAAAAGAACTGCGGATGCTGTAAATCAGGAACAAAAACAAAGTTGCTGGAAAAGCTCAGCAGGTCTGGCAGCATCTATGAAGGAGAAAAAACGATGGTTGATTTCAGAGATTAAATCTTGGTTAGTTTGCCAATACCATTGTAGTTCAGAATAGATGGTTGAGCTCTGTGAGGTTGGTATCATTTAGATGCTCTACAAAGTCTCCCTGGACAACCATAACATGTTTGCTGGGAATGAAGGCTTGGCGATGTCAATAAATCGAAAAATGTATTTACTTTTGAGTACATTGGGCCAGATTTTAACCCTTTCAGAACCTGTCCACTTTCACAGATCTGAGACCAAGGTAATTCTGTTGAAAGCTTTTCCTTTTCTTTGCTGTAACTGATTATGATGATGTAACACGGATGCTTCCATTTAGTTCAGCGTCTCAGAGATAGGGATCAAAAGAAAAGACTTGAGTTTCCCAATCATTATCAAAGACCCCTGTAGGAAGTTACTACTAAGCAGAACAAATTAACATGGTGGCAATAGTTAAATACACTCTGTTTAAAACCATAGAGTAAAAACCACAATTGTGGTGTGAGGGTTAATGTGAATATGTAAATAACAGGGGCTACATCATCATGGGAAGTAATGTGATGACTTGTGGGAGATGACATTCTCTAGCAGCAGCATGTTGAAGTGAGGTTTTGTTGTGTACGGTTAGTCTTTCACAAGTGTAAATCAAAGCCAATGTTTGCCAATCACCAAGCCTCCTGCAATCTTTATCAACCCCACTCTCAGACGCAGCCAAACCAGAACAGCAGATGGTGAAGGCGGTGTGAACAGATCACAGAATAGTAGAACAGCCTGCAATCAAACACTTACTTGCTAGACTATGAATCAACATGGAGACAGCAATATATGACAAAGACGTTAAAGAATTTACCAAAGGTTTTCCAGACTAATTCCTGGCATCATAGGACTAATGTATAAAGAAAAACTGGGCAGTTTAGGACTACATTCATTGGCGTTCAGAAGACTAAGAGGGGGATCTCATAGACACCTATAAAAATTCTAACAGGACTAGACAGGATATATGCAGACAGTATGTTCCCAATGACTAGGGTGTGCAGAACCCAGGGTCACAGTCAAAGGATATGGGAGAGGCCAATAACGACAGAGATGAGAAGATTCTTCATGTAAAGGTGGCGAGCCTGTGGAATTCTCTACCATAGAGGGCAGTTCAAGTCAAAACACTGAATGTTTGCAATGAGATAGATTTAGTTCTTAGGACCAAGGAGATCAAAAGCTATGGGGCAAAAACAGGAACTGAGTACTGAGTAGGATGATGATCAGCTATGATCATATTGGATGGTGGTGCAAACTTGAAGGGCCAAAAGTCTTATTGCTGTTTCTATTTTCCATGTAAAACATTTGATGTCTAGTTCAGTCTTGGGAGAAACACCATTACTGAATGGAAGAAGTTTAATAAAACTAAGCTTTCAGTCACTTCTCCTAAGACCTCATGTCGTTCAACATCAAATTTTGTTTGATTGGATGAGTAAGGGCTTTAGGATATTTTGTTGTGTTAAAGGCAGTACCTAAAATTTACAGGCATCAGCTAAGCACTGCAGTGCTCTTTCAATAAGAGACCTAACACTTAATTTTCAGGCAAGTCAAATGTTTCTCAAGGTAAATCAGTTGAGAGTACAGGCTCCTTCAGGAAATAATGAAGCAGGCAAAAATTGACAAGAAACAAGAAGCAGCTGATCATAGTTGGTTGAATGATACTGTCCATCAAATGGTGCCACAGGAACCAGCCAGCTTTCTGATGAAGAAACATAGAGAATAATGTCAAAAAGTAGGTTAAGGAGAGACAGGGTGAGATGCTTGGCAGGGGAAGGCTTAATTATTTTACCTGAAGGAAAGTAACAGTTGTTACTTTAGAGATCATGTTAGCAGATGATTTGGTGCAATGCATTGGAGAATTAGACCACAACCTTCAACAATCCTGGGACTGAAACTGCATATCTGCTGATCCACAGTCAAACATCTTTCAAATTGATTTAGCTAAGTTGTCTGAGAAACACAAGGCAGTGAAGTGTTCTCTGTCTCAAGAATTATGAATCTTTGGAATTCTCTAACCCACAGAGGATGCTCAGTTATTGAGGATATTCAAGTTAGTTAGAAGTTGTGAGATTTCTGTTTCTAAAAGAAACAAGTGATACGTGGATTGAGCAGGAAAGTGGAATTAAGAATCACAACCTTCTTGAATAGCAGAGCAGGTTCCAGTATTTCACTTCAGCTATTTTTTTTACATTCTAAGAGTGCAAAGGAAAACTGTATAACTTCTGGCAAGATTACAATGTTGAAGGAGTATTCTTTAATGGGAATAAAACCTTTACTATTTCTTCAATGGAAGGGCCATCTACCCACCCTGTTATTTCAGTGAAATTCCAATGCTGAGCTCCTAAAAGACTCATATCCCTTGACTTTGAACCAAGTATTTTCAACTGTAGCAATCTAAATGCAAATGTTCACATTTTGCATGCTTTATCTAAATGCAAATAGCAAGTAAATGAATACTTTTGTGTTTGTCATTGCCTTTGTCAAGGGTGATGACAAGAAAGTTTAATATTAGAGGTGTTTTCTGTTTCATTTCTAATAGAAGCAATAAGCTTCAGAATGGAAAAAGCCTGAAGGTCACAGATGACTTAAATGCCAATAGTTTTGTGTAATACTGTAAGATGCATACAGCTGCATTAAAACTGTTTTAATAGCAAATTAGGTTTAAATTGTAAAGGTTCTCAACAATTTAAATGCATGGTGCAGCCAATTTCTGCACAGCAATGTGATAACGACCAGATCATCTCTCTCTAGTGATAGTGATTGAGGGATAAATACTCGCCAGGAGTAACTCCCCTGGGATCTTTTAAAGGGGATGTGAGACTTCAGTTTAATATCCCATTTGACAGTCAGCTCTTTACCCAGTACAGCATTCCTCAGTACTGCTGTGGCATTTCAGTCTAGAGTTTTGTGCTTAAGTTCTGGAGTGGGCCTTGAACCCACAGTCAAATAAAAGCAAAATTCTGCAGTTGCTGGACAAATGAAATAAAAAATACAAAGTACAGAAGCATCTCAGCAGTTCTGCCTGTATGTGTGGAGAGAGAAACAGTATGAATGTTTCAAGTCTAGTCTGACCTGGAGACTAGAGTGTGAGTCACAGCTGACAGCAGCATGTGTTATATCTCTATCCACTTGTACTTCACTCTCAATATTGCACAGTCAAAACAGCCCCAAGGATTTCATTCACTAACAACACCATTGTTACAACCTGCTACCTATACCACTCTCTGTGATTCCCTTGTCCGCTCCACACTCCCCTCCAGCCCCACCACACCCGGCACTTTTCCCTGCAACCGCAGGAAGTGCTACACCTGCCCCCACACCTCCTCCCTCACCCCCATCCCAGGCCCCAAGAAGACTTTCCACATCAAGCAGATGTTCACCTGCACATCTGCTAATGTGGTATACTGCATCCACTGTACCCATTGTGGCCTCCTCTACATCGGGGAAACCAAGCAGAGGCTTGGGGACCGCTTTGCAGAACACCTACGCTCGGTTCGCAGTAAACAACTGCACCTCCCAGTCGCGAACCATTTCAACACCCCCTCCCATTCCTCAGACGACAT